ATTTTTCTGGCACAAGGTTTTTAAACGGATTTTAAGTAAATTTGGGGTGCAGAATCCAAATACGACTTTGGTTTTTGTCTATCACATCAGGTTTTTGAGATATACCATATTGCACTTTTGCTGGGAAACGTAAACTTTTGGATCAAAATTGACGGTTTAAACATGTATACATAAATTTTTTCAGCATTATAATTTGTAATTTTCTATAACCAAAAATTGTTAATATCAAATTGGAAAGTTAATGCACATATAATATTTAAATGTAACATTGAAGGGTGAAAAAAAACAATTAATGTACAGTAGAAATAGTGCAAGTATTAAGATCAAGTTACAGTTACATAAACTTCCTCTTTTTGGCCGATCTCTTATGTACAGCTTCTGGAATGTCTCTCATCAAACTCCAGCAGTAGTCCGCCATCATGTTCGAGTCCCATCGACCTTGGTAACGTTCTTCCATTACTTTAATGTCTTGATGAAAGCGCTCCCCTTGCTCCTCGCTCACTTCTCCCAGATTTTCTGGAAACTCGTCCAAGTGACTGCGTAAGTAGTGAACCTTGATACTCATTCTGCATCCAAGTGCTTGTAAACTCAAGAGCAGCTCTTCCACAATTTCTTGGTAGTTGTCCGCTTTCTTGTTCCCTAAGAAGTTCCGCACCACATTAGAGAAAGCATTCCAAGTTCTTGCCTGTGCCTCAGTCATTGTTGCAAGGAAGTGTGGATCTCTGAGTAGTGTTCTTATTTGAGGTCCATCAAAAATCCCTGCCTTTTTCTTCTCGTCGCTAAGACTTGGAAAGGTTGAGCATATATATCTGAAACACTCTCCACTATGATCAAGAGCCTTGACGAATTGCTTCATGATACCAAGTTTTATGTGCAGAGGAGGAAGAACAATGTTTTTCCAGTCAACCAGAGGATCGTTAATAATATTCTTGTCACCAGGCGTCAAACTATGTCTTGGTGGCCAATTCTTTTTCACCCAATGGTCTGCTGTAGCCCTGCTGTCCCAGTAGCACAGAAAACAGGGGTATTTTGTGTACCCTCCTTGCTGGCCCAATAGAAAGTTTACCATTTTCAAGTCCACACAAATTAACCATTCATGAGCATGGTATTGCAACCTCTCTAGAACAGTCTTAATGTTTTCATACTCTTCTTTAATTTGTACAGAATGTCCGATTGGAATTGAACCATACTTGTTTCCGTTATGAAGAAGAACACATTTCAAGCTCCTTTTAGAACTGTCAATAAAAAGTCTCCAGTCCTTACTATCATATGCTGGTAGTCCCATGGAGAGAAGAAGTCCTTCTACATCATTACAAAAAACAAGCTGGTCATATGAATGAAAGTACTTCCGCAGTTGCTCTTCTCTGTTGCGATAAAAGGAGACACTCGTGCCAGGTTTTAAGAGTCGTTTCTCTTGAAGCCTGGAAGCTAACAATTCAGCATACTGTTTTGGCAAATTTAGATCTCTGACCAGATCATTCGATTCTGACTGAGTA